CAAAAAATAAAAATATATATATAAAAATATATAAACAAGAAGAAAATATAATTTTAAAAATAATTATGAAATAATATAAAATTATATATTTTATATAAAATTTATTTATTTATTTAAAATAATATTAACATTAAATATTATTTTGTTATATTATACCTTAACATGACCATCTATAGTTCCAATTCCTACACTATGATCACCACCGATGGTTAATACTTTTTGATCTTTCTTCAAAACTTGTTGAAATTGTTCAGATAATTTGCTTGTACAACCAGCAACATCACCTAAGTGTGTCATGTTATCTACTTCAGTTACATTTTTTGCTTCATATAAAATATCGCCATAATCTTTCACATCTAATCCTTATTTAATTTAAAAATATGTATATTAGAATTAAAATATATATGTTAGACTTATAATTTTTAGACTTATATAATTATAATTGTTCAAAATTAGTAAAATAGATAATAATAATTACCTAATAATTCTAATTCTTTTATTAATCCAGCTTCTCTAATTACTTCTGGACCTTGTGCTACACCTCTCTTATGCTATATTTTTATTAATACTTCATTATTCCTATACATATTATATTATTTTATATTGCATAAAATAATACCTGGCCTTTTTCGAATGGTACTCCAATAATTCCAACTTTATTATAATAACGATTTCCTAGTCTCATAATAACACTTTGTATTTTTCTTAATGAATTCATTTTGGATTTAATTAGTAAAAATTTAAAAATAGATTATCCACAAAATGGCATTTAAAGAATGAAAAATTTCGTTTTAATTTAAAACATGTAAAGTGTAATGTATTAAAATGACTGATTAATTTATACTTTTATATCATTTTGTATTATAACCCTTAAGATAACCCTCAAAAGTTACATTACAATGTGACATCATATGAGATAAACGAAGATATATTCATACAATTTATAAACTATATTATCTTGTTTATTAAATTGAAAACTACTTTCAGTTATAATACTTATTATTTATTATCTATGACTTTTTGAAATGATACGAATACCTATCATATAATTTATATGATTTATATGATTATATTTTCAATTATATTTTTAGTTATATATTTTTTTA